AAACTTTTATATTTTTAAGAATAACTTTTAAAATCTAATAATTTTAAACCTTGTTTTTTCTGCCCTGGGAACTGAGAAGCAAATTTGTTTACATGTAAACTTGCCCTTGGGTTATCAAAAGGTGTAGCCATTCAAATGTAAATGAACACATTGTTTAAAGATGCTGGCTGGAATTGGATTACCTGTTCTGGGTGGGAAGGGCATGTCCTCCCCTTTCTCCATTAAAATTAAGGTGTTAGCTTTAAAACCTCTTTTTGGCAAGAGACCTTAAAACTTTCAGAACTTTAAATTTTTCAGGTAGCAAATCAATTACTAAGCATTTTCTCAAATCAATAATACCTCCACATTCCCAAGGATACACTTCAAACAAAAGACACATCCAAATAGATCAACCAACCTCATCCAGACCCCACACAAGGCACTCACAGATCAACACCCCAGCACTATAAAAATTCAACACATCCAGATCTAAGCCTTCATCACTTGATTCAGCAGACCCTCAAGTTCCCCCAAAAGTTTCCAGCCATGTCTGAGAAGCAGCCCTAGGCATGGGCAGGTGAGGAGCAAGCTGTTTCAGGCCTGGCTGCTCCAGGCCCCGCTGCTCCGGGCTCAACTGCTCCAGGCTCGACTGCTCCAGGCCCCGCTGATTAGGGCCTGGCCGCTCCTGGCCTGGCTGCTCCCGACCTGGATGCTCCCAGCCTGGCCGCTCCGGGCCCGGGTGCTCCGGGCTCAACTGCTCCAGGCTCGACTGCTCCAGGCCCCGCTGATCAGGGCCTGGCCGCTCCTGGCCTGGCTGCTCCAGGCCTGGCTGCTCCCAGCCTGGCCGCTCCGGGCCCGGGTGCTCCGGGCCTGGCTACTGCTGTTATGGGCCTGGCTGCTAACGACCTGGCTTCTCCAGGCCTGGCTGCTTCAGACCTGGCTGCCCCGGGCCGGGCTGCCACTGCCCTGGGCCTGGCTTCCGCTGTTCTGGGCCCGGCTGCTGTTGCTCTGGGACCTGGCTGCTGCTGCTCCAGGCCTGGCTTCTGCTGCTCCAGGTCTGGCTGCTCCAGGCCTGGCTGCTGCTGCCCCAAGCCTGGCTGCCACTGCCCCACGCCTGGCTGCTCCAGGCCTGGATGCCATTGCCCTGGGCCTGGCTACTCTGGGCCTGGCTACCACCGCTCCAACATTCTGTATTTTTGTTTTTTTAAAAAACGCATTTATGTTGCAATGTTGGCTGATAAGTTGAGTTCTGTCTTAATCTTTGATTTTTCAAGATCTCCTTTGTATTCTTTCTTAATTTTACTATCTTTTTGCTATAACTTGACTTCTTCACATTGAAAACTTCTGCGGTTTCTTCCTCCTCATCCTGGAAGCTCAGCAGGCTGGCCCACGGTGCCCCTTTGTTCTCCACAGCCTCCTGCACAGCTTCAGCCTGTTGCCAGGGTGGGCACTACCTGGAAAGCAGCCCCTGGCCTTGGTTCCATGGCCCGCAGTCAGCAGTTGAGGGCCCAGCGGCACCTCTCCCCCAGGGGCCCTGTCGCCCGGCTCCTTGTTGGCGCTCAGCGGAGGTAGCCACGGCGGCAGCTCCCACTTCTCATCGCACTCTTTACAGTTTCTGAGGTTCAGCGTGCCTTCTCTCTCCTTCCCAGATGGCAGAGCCTCCTCTTAGCCAGCCGTCTGGTGCCTCAGGGGCGATTTTTCCCCTGTTTTTCAGTTCTAAATTCAAATTTGTTGTGGTAGGCTGCATTCGGGTGTCTGCCCTATGCTGCCATCTTGGTTTCTCCTCTCATAGCCTGTATTTTTTTTTTTTTTTTTTAGGTATTAATCCATTTCATCCACATTGTCCAGCTTGTTGGCATATGGCTGTTCATAGTATTTTCTTACAATCCTTTGTATTCTGTGTTGTTAGTTGTTATTTCACTGCTTTTATTTCTTATTTTATTTGCATCCTCTTTTTTCTTGGGGAATAAGGCTAATAGTTCATCAATCTTATTTATCTTTGCAAAGAACCAACTCTTCATTACATTGATTTTTTTAGTTTCTATATAATTTATATATGCTCTAAACTTTACTTCCTTCTCCCTACTTAATCTGGTTTTTTTTCCTTATTGTTCTCTAATTTCTTAAGTTGTAGGGTTAAACAGTTTATTAATAATTTTTCTTGTTTTTTTAAGTAGGCCAATAGTGCTATGAATTTCCCTCTCAGGACTGGTTTGCTCTGTCCCAGAAATTTGGGGTTGTTGTGTGTTTGTTTTCATTTATTTCCAGGAAGTTTTTTTCTTTCTTGATCTCATTGGTAACCCATTCATTGTTTAATAACATGTTATTTAGCTTCCATATGTTTGAATGTTTTTGAGTTTTTTTTACTGTAGTTGATTTCTCATTTCATTCCATTGTGATCTGATCTGCTTTTTGTTATTCAATCTTCTTGAACTTGTAGAGACTTATTTTTTATTTTAATATGTGGCCTATCTTTGAAATGACACATGTGCACTTGAGAAGAATGTATATTCTGCAGCTCTGCCATGAGATGTTCTATAAATATCAATCAAATCATTGTGATCCAGTGTGTCATTTAAAGTCACTGTTTCAATTTAAAAAAAAAAATAGACAAAAATAAATAAATAAATGAAGTCACTGTTTCCTTGCTAATTTTTTGTCTAGAAGATCTATCCAGTGAAGTCAGTGGGTGTTGAAGTCCCCTATTATGACTGTATTGCTGTGAATCTTTCCCCCAAGTCCTCTAGAAGTTTTTATAATATATCATAATTTTTATAATATATTATAATTTTTATAATATGTATTATAATAAGTGCACACATTTTGCCATGGTTATATCCTCTTGTTGGATCTGTTCCTTTAGTATTATGTAGTTACCTTTATTTTCTTTTATGCTATAGCCTGTTTATTCTTCTAGAGGAATTTTAGAATTACACTATAAATTGCATCCCCCAACACATGCATAATAATCTGGCCACTTTGTATATCTTATATAATAAAAGGCTAATATGCAAATTGTCCTCTCAACAAGGAGTTCGACAAGCAGGCAGGCCAGCCAACCGTCCATGTCCCGTATCACCAGGCTGGCCAGACCCCCACCCATGCATGAATTCATGCACCAGGCCTCTAACACACACACACACACACACACACACACACACACACACACACACTGATGGCCAGATTATTATGTGTTCAGAGATCATAATAATCTGGCCACTCAGTGTAAATACACATGTATATACAAAAGGAGAATTCTTGGAATTCTAACTGGAATTATTTTCTACCTAAAATTTAAATTGAAAATATTTAATATCTTTATAATATTTATTCTTTCCAGCCAGGAATATGGTTATATTTCCATTTAGTCAGCTAGAGATAGTTTTTAAACCATAAGAATGAAGATAAATTTCATAACAGCCATGTTAATAAGTTATAGCAATTTGAGTCCATTTATTATTTTTAGATATTTATAGGGTTCACACCATTTTAAATGAAAGAATAAAGTAAAATGAAATTGCAAACACTTAAAAGTCTTAAAAGCAAATCAACCAAACAAGAACTGGTGAGGATGTGGAGAAAAGTGCACTGCTGGTGGGAATGCAGACGGGTGCAGACACTGTGGAAAACAGTATGTAGTTACCTCAAAAAAGTTAAAATGGAACTGCCATTTTACCCAGTGGTCCCACTTCTGGGTATTTACCCAAAGAAATCCAAAACACTAATTCAAAGGAATATATGCACTTTTATGGTCATTGCAGTGTTATTTACAATATCCAAGATTTGGAAGCTGCCCAGGTGCCCATCAATAAATGAGTGGATAAAAAACTATGATACATTTACAGAATGTAATACTAATTGGCTATAAAAAAAAAACACCCACAAGGCAATCTTATCCTTTATGACAGCATGGGTGGATTTGGAAAGTATGCAAAGTGAAATAAGCCAATCAGAGAAAGACAGGTACCATATCATTTCACTCTTATGTGGAATCTAATGAATAAAATAAACTAACAAAAAATTTTAAAAGTCTTAAAAGAAAATGAGCCTGGTATAGAAGATAGGAAAAGCAAAAACAAAACCAAAGCTGAATATTAAAGTAGTACTTCAACAGAACAAACAAGAACTTAGATTAAGGACCCCACATATCCCCTATTTGCAGAAGAAGAATAGTGGAGCTGAGCACTTCTCTTTATTATTCATCTGCCAGATATTCTCCTACCAACTGTAATTAAGTTATTGCCCTGCTCAAAAATATTCAATGGCTTTCCACTGCTTACAATTTAAAATACAAACTCTTTAATCTGACATTCAAGGCTCTGGCTGCAATCAAAACTTTTAGTGTTCACATCCACTTCTCACCTATAAGAAGATGCCCAGAAATACTTTATACTTTCCTATTTCTACTCCTCTTCCTAATACTCAGCCCCTGCTCCAGTCTCCTGACAAATTCTGTCCATTCTTCAAAGAATAACTCAAAAACCACCTTCTGCATGAACCCTCACATGACATGTGCAGCCTGTAATCTTTTATTCCTCAGAAATCATATCACTCACCTCTGTGTAGATTGTGCCATATCGTGATTATTTGTGCACATATCTCCCTAACTTCCTTAAGGCTTCCTGAGGGCCTACTCCATGCCTTGCACTATTTTATATCTTGCATTGCCCTGTACAAGTATTCAATAAATATATGTTGAAAAAATTTACCACAAAGCAGTTAAGATTTGGCAAGTTCTGGTAATTATAAAATAGAAATGCATTTATGATTGCTCTCAAATAGCATTAAGCACTATGACTTGTTAAAGACAAATTATCTATGAGATGTCTCTGCATGGGGAAAACTGCTTTCATCTTTCCAACACTTATTAAAGCACCCTTGTGAAAATGCTTTTCAGCTTCAAACATTTGGTTTGAATCAAACTGTGGGAATAGATCATACTTTACAAGCTTTAAAAAACTTGAAATCCTCTGTTTATATCAGGACAATAAAAACATATCTATTATCATTATTTCATTCACCTTCTTCATGTTCCCTCCAAGGGCAGGGTATGGAGGCTTGTTGACACGGCTCCAGTTGACTGGCACACGGGTCATTTCATAGAGCTGGAAGATCACTAGAGCATCTGCAAGATCACTAAAATAGGAGGAAAATAATATGAAAGAGAAGGAAATGCTGGTACTACCTAGTTTTATTAAGTACACTGAAGATGGGCTTATGTCTTTAAAAACAAAACAGGCTCAATCAATGCTTAAAGAACAACAGGTTACATCATTTGACCCAGAACTTCTAATCTAGAAATCTGTCCAAAATTTTTTCATTAATGTTTACAAACATAATATGTATGAGGACATGTATTGCCAAAGCATTTATACATTTGGAAACAAATTTAATACCAGTTATAGAGGGCTGTTGAATAAACTATTCATACCATACGATAAGACATAATAAGGTAGATTTCTATGTACTCACATGAAAAGCTTTACAAGACTTATTACATTAAAAAAGCAAGTGACAGAACACTGCATACTTTATTAGTCACTAAATTTATTTTAACATTTATTTAAATATTTATATGTACTATTGACTATTTAAAGTGATTATCTATGGGCAGGAAAGAAAGGATATGGAAAGGGTAAGGGACAGATGATCAGGTTTTGTTTTATTCTACATATTTCCTGAAACTTGTACAGTGGGAATGGAGTCTATATGTTGCTTATTTATTATGATTTTTAAAACTTTAAAAAATAATTATAGAAAAATCACAATAGCTACTGAGTAGACAGTTATTCATATATATATATGTCTAAGTGACTGGACTGGCAGACCAGCTGGTAGCTATGACATGCATTGACCACCAGGGGACAGATGCTCAACTCAGGAGTGGAAACCATAGGCATGGAAACATGAACAGACTGATTAATCTGGCCTGGCCTGCTCCCTCTCACAATCTGGCACCCCTTGAGGCATGTCAGACTGTCCGTTTCAGGGATTTAGCCCCATCCCCACAGGCCAGGCCAAGGGATCCCACCAGTGCACGAATCCATGCACCAGGTCTCTGTGTTAAATAATAAGGGTTAAGAGGAAGGAAGTTGCCCTGGGAAGTGCTACTCAGTTGATTGGATCATTATACCATATACCAAAAGGTGGCAAATTCAATTCCTGGTCAGGGCACATGCAGGAGGCAGTGAATCAATGTTTCTGTCTCACATCCATATTTCTCTCTCCTTTCCTCCCTCTAAAATAAATGAAAAAGCATGTCCTCAGATGAGGATTAAAAAAAAAAAAAAAAAAAAAAAAGGAAGGAACTTATGAGCAAGTATGAGTTACTGAAGAATACTACTACTTTGGATTCAGAAAAACATGTTCTAGGAGAATCCAAGATGGCTACACAGGTAAACACCTAGCCGCAGCCACACACAACAATTTCAATAAAATACAACTAAAATATAAAATGGACATTACCCAGAACTACAGGAAAGTCGACTGACTGGAAATTCTACAATGAGAAGCAAGGAGAAAACCAGAAGGAAGCACAGAGGAGCTGTAAAAGCCTAAGGTACGGAGACATGTGGCGCGAGCAGAGAGGACGGAGCCAGAGAGGAGGGCGGCTGAGGTGCTGGCTGGCATTCCCTAGTGGGAAGGAGATAAAAGCTCCGACTGCTCTGAGCCCCAGTTCTAGGCCAGACCCCGAGGACCCAGGCTCACGCAGAGGGAGCTGGGTTATAAGGTGAAACCCTGGGGGAGCGGCGAAAGGAGGTCCCAGAGGTGCGCACAGAGAAGGGAAGGTTGGCTGTGCTGTGGGATTGCCCTGGCGGGAAGGAGACAGGGGCTCCAGACTGCTCTGAACACCACCTCCAACTCCACTTCCAACTGAACTGAACCCCAATACCGGGCTCATTGGGGGAGAGCCTAGACTGTTTGGTAGCAGGCGAAAATCGAGGGCACCTTTCTCTCAGAGGCGCTTGCAATGAGTACTGAAGGACCCTGAGACTCAGGAGCCACATAGGGTGGGGCTGACGGAAGCCAAAGCTGTTGGCTCCACCCTGAAACCCCACCCCATCAGGGAAGCTGCAAAAATGCCGAGACAAAATAGATCACAAACAAAAGAAATGAAAGACAAAAAGCAACTGGATATAGAGTTCAAATCTACACTTAAAAGGTTTTTCAAGAATTTCCTTGAAAAGATCGATAAGGCCTATGAGGATATGAAAAGGGATCAACTAGAATTAATAAGGAATCAACAAGAAATGATAAGGGATCAACAAGAAATAAAGAATACATTGTCTGAAATAAAAATATTATACAGTCCTAAAAACAGAAAGGAAGATCACAAGAATCAAGTCAAAGATTTGGAACATAAAGAGCCAGAAGACACTCCTCCACAGAAGCAAGAAGGCAAGAGAATCCAGAAAGTTGAAGATAATATAAGACACCTTTGGGACAACTTCAAGTGAACCAACATCAGAATTATGGGGGTCCCAGAAGATGAGAGAGAGCAAGATATCAAAAACATACTGAAAGAAACAGTGACAGAAAACTTCCCCCACCTGGTGAAAGAATTAGACTTACAAGTCCAGGAAGCGCATAGAACTCCAAACAAAAGGAATCCAAAGAGGACCACACCAAGACAAATCATAATTAAAATTCCAAGACCAAAAGACAAAGAGAGAATATTAAAAGCAGCAAGAGCAAAGAAGGTAGTAACCTATAAAGGAGCACCTATACGATTGTCAGCTGATTTCTCAACAGAAACCATGCAGGCCAGACGGGAATGGCAAGAAATATTCAAGGTGATGAATAGTAAGAACCTACAGCCAAAGATATTCTATCCAGCAAAGCTATCACTCAGAATCGAAGGTCAGATAAAGAGCTTCACTAATAAAAAAAAAAAAAAAGCTAAAGGAGTTCATCACCACCAAACCAGAATTATATGAATTGCTGAAGGGGGTTCTTTCAGAAGAGAAAGTAAATAAAGATAAAAATTATGAACAACAAATACGTAACTATCAACAAGTGAATCTAAAAACCAAGGAAATTTAAAAAAATCTGATGAACAATATTAACTGTTGAATATGGAAGGGAGTGAACTGACAATTCTTGGGGAAAAGGGGAGTGGGGGGTTGTGGGAAGAGACTGAACATATACTGTGCACTTATGGATGAGGACAATGGGGGGTGGGGAAAGGGCAGAGGGTGGGGTGGGAACCTGGTGGACGAGAGCAATGGAGGGGGTGGGGAAGGAACATTTGTAATAATATGAACAATAAAAATTTATTTAAAAAATAATAATAAAAGAAAAAAAAGAAGAAGAAAAAAGAAAAACATGTTCTCCTCAGATGCTCAAAGTATATTCATCAAGTTTGTTTCCAATTCTGTATGATAAGAACACACACACACACACACACACACACAAACAAAAACAAAACAGCAATTGATCTTAAACTTGCTAAGTCTTTGATGTGTAATGTGACTTTTCTCTCTCAGTAGCTGTTCGCTGAGATATGTTTAGCTAAGATTCCTAATACAGTAGTTACTTTGCATCTGTGAGCACACACACAATGCCCATAAAGGGGCTTGGCCCTGTGCTGAGCAATGGAAGGAGTCTATTATGAAGGTAATTAAGAGTTGACTAGGTTATCTATTAGTACACGGAGAATTTTGTAATAAAAGTCATTAAAGTTATTTGTATATCTCCTGGAATCTCACCTATTTCATGATTTTTCCTTTTAACTTTAAATGAAGTCGTTCTTATTTCTATGTAGTATGGTATTATTATTATTCATATTTTGCAAGTAGTGAAACTGAAACCCAAGGCATGTGAGTCACCGGCCTTGAGTTTGACATGGTTGGTGTACACCCTTGGTCTCTCTTCAATAACTCACTTTAAAAACTTGGCACTGTCTGGGAAAAATGAGTTGCTTTGGTAAATAATTTTAAGTGCTGTGTTATTACCATTGCTGTCAACTGGTTGATCAGCCTTTATATATATAAAAATATGTTACACAAACACACAGCTCTCTTTTATAGCAGGAAACAGTCTCCCTTTATCTTTAAGGGAGGTGATACATGCATTCTGGGGACAAAGTGGAATGGATGTTGTGCCTTAGTGGATAGTGGATAGCTGCTTGTTAGCAGAATGTTTGTGTGTGCATCTGTGTGTATATGTGTGTGAATGTGTGTGTGTTTGTGTGTATATAGGTGTGCACTGTGCCCATAATGGTGTGGGTTTTTCCCCCTTTAATGTCACTGCTGAGAACACATATGTATGGGTAGTTGCTACTACCCATTGTCAAGCTAGGAGTTTAGTGGTGCTTGGTATAATTTCTGGGCACAAATTTATCATACAGTAGGTGTTGGGGTTAGCTTTTCGGCAGATGCCTATTAAGCAGATGGTGCTCAACTGCAATAAGGAAAGATGTAATTTTGCCCAAAAAGATCTACTGTACTGTCAGCAGCAGATCAAAGGGATGTTCATTCCAAACCATTCCAGACCAGAAACTGTAGTGGGGACAGTCTATAGGAGACCAGAGGGAGGGAAACCATAGAGAATCATCCTGTCACACTTGAGTCATTGGCTGGGTGCAGCCACTTGTCATGATGATGTCCATCCAAGTTGGGCCCACTCTGCGTGTCCTCACCATAAAAGGTAGAGCATGTGACATGAATGCATTGTGGGTGGGAAGCTTGTAGTTACTGATCATCCCTCTGGCAGAGTAGTGAGTAGACCTCACAGGTTGGCATAAACACAAATCCCAGAGATAGTCTTGAAAGGAAAGTAACTGTTTACTTCTCCCATCTTTTCTCCCTGTTACGGTACTTCTGGCTTCTGGCTGAGTGGTGTCCCCATAGGAGCACACTGACCACCAGGGTTGAGCGTCTGCCCCTTAGTGGTCAGTGCATGTCATTGCCACCAGTCATTCTGCCATTTGGTCAATTTGCATATTAGAGTTTTATTACATAGGATTCTGAACTGGAGATTAATGCCAAAAATACCAAGATCACTGGCTGAGGACTTATGATGGAGTAATTCTGCTTCTTGGTATATATTCAAAATACTATTTAAAATCTAAAACCAGTAGTGCCTTATTATGGTAATGACTTTGATGTGATACTCACATTTGATGAACTCTTAAGTGCATGTAAATTCAGTTAAATTGCAAGATATAAGCCATTTAGACCAGAACTCCTATAATAGTAGCAGGGCAGTGAAGGTCTCAAATACTGGAAGGGAGGAGCAGCTAAATCTTTATGGATATTTGAAGGAATGTCTATAGTATATAATTAAGAGAAAAGAATAATAGGTCTAGCCTATGGTTAGAGCATTGGCCTACTGAAGGTCTCTGGTTCAATTCCTGGTCAAGGGCACAAATCTGGGTTGCAGGTTTGATCCCCAATCCCAGTCAGGGTGTGTGTGGGAGACAACCAACTGATGTGTTCTCTCACATCGATGTTTCTCTCTCTCTCTCTCTCTCTCTCTCTCTCTCTCTCTCTCTCTCTCTCTCTCTCTCTTTCTCTTTCTTCTTTTCCTTCCCCTCCTTCTCTTCCACTCTTCCTTCCACTATTTCTAAAAATCAATGGAGAAAAATATCCTGTGATTATTCTAAATTTTTTTTTAATTTAGTATATACATATTTGTATATGAATTTTTAAAAGTCTGAAAAAATGAATACCAAACTGGTAGGTAGGATGAGACTTCTATTTTTTATTTTAGTAACTTAAGGTTTGATATTTTATTTTGTTTTTACAATAAGCATGCATTTCTATTTTAATCAAAAAGTAAATATAAAGCCCTAGCTGGTTGGGCTCAGTGTACAGAGCATCGACCGACCAAAGCGTCTTGGGTTTGATTCCAATCAAGGGCAAATACTCCTCTGTAGCCCAGGCCCTGGTCAGGGCACGTACAGGAGGCAACTAATCAATGTGTTTCTCTCATACCAATGTTTCTCTGTCTTTCCTTCCCTCTAAAAAAATTCAATGGAAAAATATCCTCAGGTGAGAATTAACAACAACAAAATTATAACTAATACTAATGGCCCTGTGCACGAAATTTGCCCATCTTGCACCCTCTCCAATCTGGGACCCCTCAAGGGATGTCCAACTGCCCATTTAGGCCTGATCCCACCACCGGGATCAGGTCTAATGGGCAGTTGAACATCCCTCTTACAGTCCAGGACTGCTGGCTCCCAACTGCTCACCTGCCTGCCTTCCTGATTGCCCCTAACCACTTCTGCCTGCTAGCCTTATCACCCCCTAACCACTCCCATGCCAGCCTGATTTATGTCTAACTGCTCCCCTGCAAGCCTGTTTTGCCCCCAACTTCCCTCCTCTGCCAGCCTGGTCACTCCTAACTGCCCTTCCCTGCAGGACTGGTCCCTCCCAACTGCCTTCCCTTGATGGCCATCTTGTGTCCACATGGAGGCAGGATCTTTGACCACATAGAGGCAACTATCTTGATCTTGTGTGTTGGAGTGATGGTCAATCTGCATATTACTCTTTTATTAGATAGGATAGAGGCCTGGTGCACAGGTGGGGACCAGCAGGTTTACCCTGAGGGTGTCCTGGATAAGGGTGGGGTTCTCTTGCAGAGTGGGATGGCCAGGGTAAGGGTTCTATGATGGTTTTCAGGCCAGCCACGCACCCTGTTGACTTAAGCAGAGGCCCTGGTATCTGGAATTTATTTCAGATACAATTGAAACTTTGTATCCTTGAGTGTGTGGAAAGCTTGGCTTCCTCTGTTGCCAGGGAAACCCAAGCCTTCCTTCTGGTAAAGATCTTAGTTGGGTGTATTTGCATACTTGCTCTGATTGGCTGGTGGGCGTGGCTTGTGTGTGTAGTGGAGTGATGGTTAATTTGTATATTACTCTTTTATTAGGTAGGATTATATTATCTTTTAAAAAATACTATACTTTTATTTTAAAATCCATTTCATTGTCAATTCCCAGCATTCTGGAACTCTAAACATTGGCTAAAATTCTTGTGATTTCTATAAATGCTCTCATGTTAACATACCTAGAGCTTAAAACTAGAAAAGTTGGACCCTCAACATAAAGCTGAAACACAGAAAAATGTTTACCTGTACAAATGATTAATGTAAGGGTTTACCCCCAAGGAATTCATCCAGTTTCGAAATGTCCTTTCTTCCTTGCTCTCTCCTAGAGTAGACACAAGTTCACACTGATGATTCAGGACAAAAGGAATCAAGAACCACATTTTAAATCCTCAGGCAGATATAAACTGGTCATACATACTTTGCCATGGTTCCTATGACACTACAAAATTTTTAGGCAAAAAAAAAAAAACACTCATTGCCAAAGTCCCTTTGCTCTCTCTGTCTAGACAGCCTCTATTTGCTCTAAAAATTTCCATCTAGTATTTTTTATTGATGTCTGTGAATTACTGAGGTGTGGGTTTCTCTGTCCAAAAAAGTAACAAATAAATGACAGACGTGTGGTCATATCCATTGTTAGAACTACATGCAATGTGATTGGCTAAAAATAAGAAATGAAAATATTTTAGCAGCCAGGGTAATATCAGCACATTAAACAGAAATAGAAAAGTTGTACTGTTTCCAAAGCTGTATTACTACATCTGTACAAAATGCATTTTACATAGAAAAGTTGCTGAACATACAAACCTAAATTTTAATTACACCAGATAGCAACAAAGGAGATGGGATTACGTGTCATATAAAAACAACCAATGAGGGGGATGTAACTGCTTTACATGCTTCTTGAATTTAAACTGTTCCTATTAAAAATACATAAGGGATACAGCTCCACACAGGGTGCTAAGAGAATGAAACATTTCATCATAGTAAGTTCCTAGATCTCAAAGATCACCTTGAGAAGAAACTCCTGCAGGCATTATTATTTAATCTATGATTACCTAAATTACCTGAGCATTCCTTTCACAGCAGTGTTTATATCATTTATAAGGAAAACGTGGGATATCATGTGACATAAAGGGCGCAGAGAGAGAAGTGTGCCCTCTTGGTCATTTTTGCCTTCTAATCATCCCCTTAATGAAAATGGTCCTCAGTGACTTGAAAATTATTGTTTGTCTTTCAGCAAAGTTAGGGAGACAGTGGAATAGTCTGACCTGCACCTCACCACCAGACTCCTGAAAAACGAAACATTTACAGTACGCCTCACATCACTTCTATACCAGAGATAAGTTCAAGGCACTCTCTAGACTTTGTCTCAGGTGAGATTCCCAGGACTACAACCATCTGAGTGTGCTCTAGGAGCCAATTTCTATAGAGCCAGCCCTGCAATCATCTTCAGACTAAGTAACACAGACAGTAAAAAACTGCATACCCAGAGGAGAAATAAAAACCTTGTAAAGTCTAAAGCAATCTGTTTTTTGTGCCAACTGTTCAGAAAATAATCTTCCTACTGTACTTTCATGTGGTTTCAATGCCATTACCTAATAGCTTTCCCAGAGTCTATTTGAATTCTTGTTCTATTAAATTATGTAACCATATAATTTATTGTCTAAAATTTCCCCCTCTTGTATGCATAAAAGTTAACTGATTATTCTGTTGTATCTGCCACTGCAACTTTATGAGACACTATAACCTATATGAGTACCTTTTTAAAAAGATCCAAGTTAATCTAAATATGTCTAGAAATATGCTTGCCTTATTTTATAGGAGTTATTAAACAGGTGAAAATTAAATATCTGAATTTTCCCCAAAGTAACATAAATACAAACATTGATGTATGTGACTTGGGTTTACCTTTTAGTTTTTTTCTCTATTACAATCTGTTATTTATCTGTATATAAGTATTTTTCTAGTAATTAGATAATTTTTATATTATTTCCACCTCTGAAAATCCAAGTTATCTTTTAAAATAACAAACAGTAGTGTACCAATTGTTTAATTTTTAATTAGAATAATATCTAAATTCTGCTGAACCTGGTAATTTAGTGTATTCTATTTAAAAAGACACTAAGCTTGTATCTTGACTGCAAGTGTAAGTTTCAGAGGTTCACATTTCTTCCTATTATTCCCAACTAATTATATCATTATTATTTTAATTTTTGATACCTGGAAAGTAAAATAGATTTTTAAGAGAGTACTTATTTATCTAATACCATTTCAAGTTGTCTTGGTAAATAAATGCTCAAAGCCAGCAGTGCTATATACATTTGTTTTGTTTTGTTGTTGTTGTTTTTTCATATTTTAAAACATACATATTTATTTATTTTTTATGTTGTATCATAACTGCCTTTTTTGCTATATGCATTTGTGAAAGAGCCATAGTAAACATTACAAAAACATATGTATTCCAGATTATAAATGACTAAAGCAATCTCAAAAGTAAAATCTTAATTGCTGATAGAAAAGATATAAAAAAGCTATAAAACATTCTTTTCATTTTCATAGTCAAACCAACATCTGCAATTGAATTTTCATGAAAAATAACAAATATATTAAAAATAGGCTAGTAAGAGGAAAAGGAATTGGCATATTTAACACTCACAAGCGGTATAAGTGGTTTCTTTCTCTCTCTATCTAACCATTACCGAGTTCATACTGTTTGCTAAATTCTTTCATGAAAAGTCATTTTTAATTATGTGATTCTTCACAATAAGTATTACTGGTCTTGTTTTATATGTGAGAAAACCAAGACTCACAGAGATCACTCAGATATTTAATGGTGGAACTATGATTGAACAGAGTATAATTCTGTGGCTGTACATATTTTCTATTACTATAAATGAGTTCTGATATGGTCTCTCTATACACAGCCTTTGTATTTGGCACAATTTAATATGAAGATTTAATATTTAGTTGGTCTTTTAATTTTTTTAATTCTATATAGATAAAATTCTTTGCCAATGAGAACATACTAATATATGAATATGGGATGTGATAAGGTTAAGCTTCAAACTTCATAAGGATCTATAAACACAAATTTACAGAGAAAAAATTCCAATGACAGTAAAGTCAAATACATTTTGGCAGATATATCAGGACATACATATGTTCTAAATAAAGATTATTGATAAATATTTCCCATGGTATCTTCTTATATAGTAAACTAGAGGCCTGGTGCACAAAATTCATGCACTTGGGGGGGAGTGTCCCCCTCAGCCCGGCCTGCACTCTCTCGCAGTCCAGGAGCCCTTGAGGAATGTCTGATTGATGGCTTAGTCTCTCTCCCCACCTAAGCCGTCACTTGGACATCCTTAGTGCTGCTGTGGAGGTGGGAAAGGCATGCAACAGAGAGCCAGTGCAGGAGTGCACTGTCCACCAGGGGGAAGCTCCTGTGTTGATCATCTGCCCCTTGGTGGCCAGTGAACGTCATAGTGACAAGTTGTTCTGCTGTTTGGTCGATTTGCATATTAGCCTTTTATTATATAGGATACTAATGGAAATATTTAGCAATCTGATTCACACTGAAAAATTCCAAAAACATGCTGAACACTAGCAAAAGAATGCAAACATTACAAATAGGAGAACAAGCAAATTGGAAAAGATATCTAGCAAGAATTTGGTGACTATAAGAAGCAGATCATTTTTAATATGCCACTCTAAACAATGCCTTCTAATGTAAGACACAAAGGGATTTTGAAATTTTCTAAACTCATAAAAACTTAGCAGTCTTCCTTTTTATTTAACTTTTTAAAATTATAATTTATTATATATTTCTCTGCTGAAAATTCTATAGTTTAATCTATCTTCCCTCTTAGTTATGTAAGTAGAGAAGATAGTCATTTTATTTTACTGGGCTTCAGGAAGAGTGAATTCAATTAATCATATTCTTCAAATAATATATTTGTTAACTCTGAAACTTCTCCCATTAATTAAAACAACTGTAATTATAAAGTGACAAAGACATGGGAACTCTGGTTGTGACAGTCAAAGAGAAAAAGATCATGAAACTGATTTCTCTCTCCTTCTGTCTTAGAAAGAGAGAAGGAAGTAACGGTGCTGTTAGTGAATGAACACTGAATCATCAAATTCTCTCCACCAAGAATCCCTATTTGAGCACTACCTTCTCCAAAACAGGTCAACTGTGGGAATATTTTAGGGTTGGTCCTTCAGACAACTGCCACCACTTTTTTACTTTTAGTTGGTACTAAGGTGGGTTTTGGTATGCATGAGTGAGAGGGTGAAAAATGGGAGAAGAAAAGAAGAGAGGCTAGAAAACAGAAGATGAAAAAGAACAAGATATTGAGAATATATTTGTCATTATGACAATTCATATATTATAAGCTTCAATGACATTCAGTAAATGAAACATAGCTAAATAATACAAAATAATCTGTTACAGAATCTAAATAGATCCTTTCAAAAATTACTTGTGATAAAGATGTTTATTTATAGGAGAGAGATAAGGGCTTTGCATCAAATCATGAAATCTAATTGTCAATATTGATTTCTAACGTGCTTACAACTATACTCCCATCATTATAGAGGGCAAATTAGGTGAAATTTACATAACCAACCCTTGCTCTGCTATTCAAATTAAGCTTCATTTGTGTTTCTTGCTTATTATCATTCACTCTTTAGGCATATTAAGACTGAAAAAAAAAAACACAGCATGAACAATGCAAAAAAATAAATATCAACCCAGATAGAAAGAATAAATTGTATTAATAAAAAGAACATTCAGAATTTATATATAGGGAATATAGGAAAGTACTAAATACAGTACCTACATTAGGAGGGGTCAAATCTGCATTTCATGAAGCAAAACAGGAAAGTAATATAAATTATGAGACAGATAACAATAGCCCACACACAAGACAAGTAATGAGTGATGTAAACTTTTTCATGTACAGTAAAAACATTAAAAAGAGAACAAAACTGTAGTCAAACTGTAGCTTTCAACAGAGAAAACAAGCTACAAATAATTATTTTTCCAATAGATAATTCAATGTCCATATTCATGGTGGAGTTATGTTATGTGGTCATTTAAGAAATATTTTTAATGTATGATAGTTTTCACTAACATCTATAGAGAAATGACAGACAATAAGTTTTACCCCACACGTTCTTTTAACCAAAACCAACAACCACTTTTTAAAATTTTAACTTTTAATGTATACACATGCTTATAAACAGTAAACTATGTCTCCCAGCACACTCTCCTACCTCTGAGAGTGAAATAGGTCAATACCACAGGAAGATATATACAACGAATCAATTAAAGGCATAAAGAACATACCTTCCAATAAATTCATATCGATGTCATTATTTTCAGGCTTGTGTAGGCATGGGTATGTATTAAATAGATTAGCTACAAAAGCTAAATTAAGTTTAGGATTGCCTGAAACCACATCTGCAGGAGTAACAAACTGTCTGCAGCCCAGTTTATCTGCTTCTTGAAGCATGAATCCAGCACGCTTCAGGTCATTTTTCTCCTAAAGAATAAAATAAAATAAAAATGGTCAAAATTAAACTTTTTTTGATTTTTTACAGAGAGGAAGGGAGAAGGGTAGAGAGTAAAAACATTGATGAGAAACATCAATCAGCTGCCTCCTGCACACTCCCTACTTGGGATGTGCCTGCAACCAAGGTACATGCCCTTGACCAGAATCAAACCTAGGACCCTTCAGTCCACAGGCTGATGCTCTATCCACTAAGCCAAACCAATTAGGGAAAGATTAAAGTTTTAATTGGCATAACCTTACATTGTTATACATATTTATAGGCAATTTGTTTTCTGGAAATATTTATACATATAAAAGCCTAAATAACTGTCCCACAGTTTGACCATCAGACCAGAAGCTATCACGCGCAATGACCACACCACCAGGGCACAGACGCTCAACGCAGGAGCTGCTGAGTTGTGGAGACTTGGCAGCTGCAGTTCTTGGGTAATGCACTCAGAACCAGAGAGGAGGGAGTCCGATTCCAGGGTGCATTACCCAAGAAACACCTTCTCGCAATCCAGGACCCCTCGGGGGATGTTGGGCTGAGAGAATCCGTGCACTGGGCCTATAGTTGTAAATAAAGTTGCTACAAACATAGGGGTCATATAATCTTTTTGATTGGTGTTTTGAGATTCTTAAGATAAATACCCAGAAGTGGGACTGCTAACTCAAAAGGCAGTTCCATTTTTCATTTTTTGAAGAAACCCCATACTGTTTTCCAAAGTAGTTAAATTAGTCTGCTTTCCCAATAGCAGTGAAATAGGATTCTCTTTTCTCTACATCCTTGCCATCACTTGCTGTTTGTTTTAATCAATCTGGCAGATATGAGGTGATACCTCATTGTGGTTTAATTTGTGTTTCTCTAAAGACCTTGAGCATTTTTTCATATATATTGGCCCTCTGTATGTCCACTCTAGAGAAGTGTCTATTCAGATCCATTGCCCATTTTTAAAAAATATATGTTTTTACTGATTTCAGAGAGGAAGGGAGAGGGAGAGAGAAACATCAATGATGAGAGAAAATCTTTGTCTGCCTCCTACACACCTCTTACTGGGGATCGAGCCTGCAACCCAAGCATGTACCCTTGATCAGAATTGAACCCGAATGCTGGGGTTAAGTACAGTAATTAGCATAATAAATGTGAGGTGTTCCTCAGAAGGCTGATGGACAACTTCAGCAGGGCTGAAGACCTGCATATTATATAGTACCTGCTGCAAAACAGCTGAGGGCAATTCCTCTAATCTGATGGTACTTTATTGTTTACCAAACCTTTCCTTTGATATTTATATCTGCTTTGCTAAAGGGAAAACATGTTAATAAAAAGCTGTGGGTCTAGAAATTCAGGGATCTTAGTAACTAGAGCTTTTCCATCTGGATCCCCCAAAATGTCTCCCAAATTTATATTTCTTGTCTAGTCTCTATTCATTTATGCACAGCTCTTCTCCATATTCCTGAACCTTTGCTGCTAAGAGAATGCAGCATTTATGGCGCCTCAATGAAAGTCATCTGGAGAAGAAGATTATTTGCCTGAGTGAAGGAAGAGGACCACTGGTAAAGGTGAGGATTACTGGTAAAGGTGGGGATCACTGAAAATTTGGTGTGGAAATTCACTGTGCATAAAGCTCGTACCAGCTTTGGAATTCAAGATCCAAAGAGAGTAAGGACGTCTTTTTCAAGCTAGGCCATAATGGGGAAGAATTTGATTAAAAGGCAAAAGAACTTAACATGTAAAAAGTTATTCTTAAATCAGGCTCAAGGTAAAAGAGTGCTGTTGTCATCTTTAACTATATGGGGTCTTGTTCAAATTGCAAAATATCTAATTTGTATTGGGGATCAAAAGTCTTTAAAACTAAAAAAGACCCCAGATCCTCAGCCTCAGATGTGGAGAGACTGAGCAGCTAGAAGGGTAGAGCTGTTAACACTCTTGCAGGGACCCTCTGATGCTTTGTTTAAAAATTACCATATGACCCATTGGGACAGGCAGAGTTTAGCTAAAATAACTTTAGAGGCCAATCAATGCTGTAAAAAGCAGGTTAAGATAAGATCTGTGAACAATAATCTGAGATCTAGGTTACATCCTGGCTGTAAGCACCAGGCAAATATAAAACATCTGAAAAGATCCAGGAAAAGAACTTTGATTTATTAAGTCTTGTCTATATGTTATCTATTGAATGTAGTTTTTTCTGTTATTTTTATTTGGTTTTAATGTGTTTATTGTTAGTTTATTAAGCATGATTTTAATTTAATTTGGTAAGAAATGTAGCCAGACCATTTACTGAATTTCCCCAAAGCAAACAGGATGTGGGGGTGGTAAGAGAGAATATGAGTAGTACAAGTGGCCAAGGGTGTCCTAGGAGACAAAGGAAGGTAGAGATAAAATTTAGCAGAATTCAAGGGAGATGTTTGGGATTTCCGTACTCAAAGAGAAAAAGGCCAGTTTAAGAAAAAAGTGAGCTCCTTTCAATCTTGGATGGCTTCTTAAACTGAGCTCAATTTCTTTGCAAATGTTATAGAATAAACCCGGACTACTTTTCTCAAAAAGATGGCAAAATGACCCAAGAAAAAAAATTATATGCTGTGTTTAAGCAATAAGATTGATGTTTTCATAATAAAGGGTAGTTATTGAATAATAATAAACTGAATTCCTCACAGTCAGTAAGTTATTTTTGTTACAGAATTTGCCAAAGTAAATGCCTTGAATAATAACAATTAGCTTTAAAATATCAAAATTACTTAAACAAGGATAAATAATGTAACTAAGATAAAGGATTTGTAGTGAAGCTTTTCGGTTATAATTATGGTTATATTGATAGTGGGGATTCCCTCCTTGTTAAAGAAGGGGGCTTGTCCCACAGCAAAACCTCTAAGGAAAGAATGTGGCAATTTTACATTTAAATAGCTACAGGTTTGCTTCCAAAGTTGTTGGCAACTTAAAACTTTGGAGTTTATTAATTAAGTAATAAAAACTTATTAAATAACTAGGAATTTTGAAAAGACAAAATACTGAAATGTTAATCTAAGTTTGCCTCAAATGAAAAATCTAGAGGATAGAATTGAATCAACTAAATATGTCTTGTATTTTATTTCATTTTTTAAATAAATCTTTATTGTTCAGATTATTACAGGTGTACCCATAGCTCCCCTCCATCTGATTCCCCACCATACCACATACCCTTACCCCCTGCCACTGTCTTCATCCATAGGTGTAAGATTTTTGTCCAATTTGTTCCCACACCCCTCAGACCCTCTTCCCACTGAGAATTGTCAGTCCACTCCCTTTCTATGTCCCTGATTCTATTATATTCACCAGTCCATTCTATTCTTCAGATTTTTTATTCACTTGGTTTTTAGATTCACTTGTTGGTAGGTATGTATTTGATGTCTTTTTGTTGTTCATGGTTTTTATCTTTACTTTTTTCTTCTTCCTCTTCTTAAAAAATACCCTTCAGCATTTCATGTAATCCTGGTTTGGTGGTGGTGAACTCCTTTAGCTTTTTCTTGTTTGTGAAGCTCTTTATCTGACCTTCAATCCTGAATGATAGCTTTGTTGGTTGTATGTTCTTGCTATTCATCACTATGAATATTTCTTGCCACTCCCTTCGAGCCTGCACAGTTTCTGTTGAGAAATCAGCTGACAATTGTATGGGTGCTCCCTTATAGATAACTGTTTTTCTCTTGCTGCTTTCAAGATTCACTCTTTGTCTTTTGCCCTTGGCATTTTTATTATGATCTCTCTTGATGTAGTCCTCTTTGGATTCCTCTTGTTTGGGGTCCTATGCACTTCCTGTACTTGTAAGTTATTTCTTTCACCAGGTAGGGAAAGTTTTCTGTCGTTATTTCTTCTAATAGGTTTTCAATATTTTGCTCTCTCTCTTCTGGCACCACCAAATTTGGATGTTGGTATGCTTAAAGTTGTCCCAGAGGCTCCTTACACTATCTTCATATTTTGTAATTCTTTTTTCTTTTTTATTTCTGGTTGGGTGTTTTTTGTTTTCTCATATTCCAGATCTTTGGTTTGAATCTTGGGGTATGTTGATCTATAGTTGAGTTTCTGTATATTCTTTCAGACAGTGTATGCTTAATTTCTGACTGATCCTTTTCCTTTTTTTTTTTTTTTTTTTTTTTTTTTTTTTTTTTGCATTCTCATTAAGGTCCTTGAGATGTCTCTTCAAGTTTCTCAGCAGTTTTTAGAAGATTCTTGAGTAACCTTATAAATGTGATTTTGAACTTTGTGTCATCCAATAGTTTGTTTTCCTCCATTTCTTTCATTCGTGACATGTTTCTGTATCTCCTCAATCTGGATGCTTCCCTGTACTGATAGAGTGGCTTTGTGTGGTAGGTGACCTATTGGGGCCAATAGCTCAGCTTCCCCAATCACCTGAGGTGGTTGCTCTTGTACACCCCTTTGTGGGCTCTGTGCAAAGCCTTGGTATAGTTAAGCCTGATTGCTACTGGTACACTGGGAGGAATTGATCTCCAGGCCAATTGATTGTGAGGACCCACTGTGTCTATAATGAAAGAACTGCTGTGCTAGAGACACACTTATGGTGCAGGCCTTGTTTCAGTGGTGCTTTGGTGCTTACAGAGTCCGCCTCCAGAATGTGTCACTTATGGATGTGAGGAGTTGAAATATGGTGTCTCACACTGACCACTAGGTACACTGGCTTCTGGATCTCCAATGGGGTGCAGGTCAGCTACTGTCTGAGGCCACCCTGCAGGAGCTACAGGAAGAACCACAGTCCTCTCCTCCCTGCTTGGAGCTTGGAGGCTTTGGAACTGTCTGTACCAGGTTACAAGTTTGCTAGGTTAAGCTATGATAGGGAAGGTCATTCATATACAAAAGCCACTGCTTGGAGCTTGGGTGGGCTTGTAGGTTGTGCAGGGCAGAGTCTCAGGGTGTCACTAGGCTAGAGCGTGGCAAAGAGCAATGGCTGCCAGCCAGCTGTCCCTGCGCTTCCAACTGCATCCCCATGTCCCATGCCCCAGCA